CTCTAAGACTGACCCACAACACGTACTCTGAGCTCTGACAGATCATCTACCAAATATGAAACGGGAGGTTTATAGACAACAAGTGTTGAGCTAGCTGAGGATGAGGACAGGGATTCTACCCAGAACATATTATGTGAATTTGCAGTGGTGGGCAGCACTAATCTAAATGTTAGTTGCCCTAAAACCTAAAGCACTAACTCAGACAGACATTCAGGTCCCCTAATTTTAAAGCACTAACTCAAATATTTAGGTCCCCTAATTCTGAAGCACTAATGCACTGAAAATTTAGCAAAAGCTAATTCTAAAGCACTAAAACAGCCCAGTTGACACATGAAACATTCTTCAACAGAAAACATGAGACAATATTTACTGTGTGCAGAARGTTGTCACTTTGTGTCCTTGCCGGGCCAAATAGGAGTCACCCGCAGGCCACATTTGGCCCGCGGGCCTTGAGTTTGACACATGACCTTGTAGATACGTGACACACATATGAACAAAATGTGTGATAGATTTCACCCTTAACTGTGAACAATAATGTTGATCAATAACGTTTAAAGACCTTAAAGAGTGCTTCTAAATTTAGCAAGTGCTAATCCACTAATGAATTTTAAAAATAGCAAAAGCCCTAAAGCACTAATGAGGAAATTAGTTCCCCTATTAGTGCTTTAGGGTAACTGTGCCCCCCACTGTGAAAGTGTTTGKAAGTTGAGAGTAGAAGGACAGATTGTGATGTGTAGTGGTGCGCAKAGATAACCCATTAGTGGATTAAATGAACTGTGCTGATGTGAAGGGGATATAAAAGAAACCAGAAAGTTATACAAAGCAACTTGATGCTTTAATAAAACCCTGTGCTGTCCTGAGTTTCTCTCACTTCTTTGCTCAAATTAAGCATTTACGCCACTTAATCGTTGGCGCCTAATGTGGAGCTTGACTGAGGGGCACACCAGCACCACCCGACATCCACAGAGGTGGATCAGGAATCTCAAAGGGCCAAAGAAAAGAAAGGTATTAAAAGTTATTGTTCGATACCTGTGGCTGTAGGAGAGTTTATTCATGAGAAAAAAGTAGGGATTTTGTGCTCAAATGAAGAATTTTCACCACTTCACTACCTTGTAGCTGAACTTGCGGACAGGCATCCAGGTGACAATGATGGCAGTGTCGGTGACCTCGGTGCTGAAAGGAGGGGCATTTCCGATCTGAGGAGCTGAAAACACGGAGGATAAATGTTACTGAAGTGTTTAAAAACTTTTGGGTTTCTTGCTCTGTTGGTGCTGACCGGTGGTGAAATACGTGGTGAAGCCCTCGCTGAGCACGTTGTCCTGCTCGGTGTGCAGGGTGGCGGTGTACTGGGTGTCGGGGCGCAGATTCAGCAACGGGTACTGGGTGGCCCTGCCGGGGATCCTCTTCTCGATGGGGCTGGAGCCCTCGACGCTCAGGAAGAGGCGAAAACCGGAAACGCTGGCCCGAGGAGACTCCCAGATCATCTGCGCGCTGTTCGGTTTGATGTCGATGAAACGCACGTCTGTGGGAGCGTCGGGTTCTGCGGCAGATAAAATAAAACGACACGTTYGGAGGAAAGTCGTTGCTTTGTTTGTTGTTTTTTTAACGTCACTCACTGGTGGACTTCTCTCCAACCAGCGGCCGGCTCTCGGCGTCGCCTCTCAAGGCGTAGATGTAGAAGCGGTAGAGCGTGCCGGGCTGCAGTTGGGCGAACTCGGCGTATGCGTTGTGTGAGACGGGAAGCTGCAGGGGGCGGAGCTCGGAGCCGTCTTGACCCATCGGGGTGAAGACCACCCTGTAACCGGTGACCTCGGTGGGTGGACCGGTCCACGTAATGGTGATCTTCACATCTGAGACCTCGTAGAACTGCAGGTCTGTTGGGGACGGGATCTCCTCTGTGGACAGGAAAACATTTTAATCATCAAGAATCAGAGGTTCATAAATGGAGGACAATAGTCCAGATCTAGACCCAAATGAAGTCTTAACAGGACCCAGATCAGTCAGTAGATAAAACTTTATAATAAATATAAGACTTTTAAATTAAAGGTAGCTTGTCTAACTTTTATAGAAAAGATTTGCCTGGAAAAGAAGTAGTAACAAGAGAACTCAACGCCAACCGTTGCCATTCAGTAGCTCAGATACATGTGCAAAAAAAGAGACAAATTGACAGCTTTGATCCAAAATGGCCGACTTCCTGTTGGGGCTGGACCATGACTCCAAGAGACTTTTTGTAGGTCCTGAGCCGTTACACGTGTGTACCAAATTTTATGATTCCAGGTCCAAGCATGGCTTGGGGCTGATTTTTGAAGTAATTTTGGGGGTGGCGCTGTGGAGGAATTAGGCCACGCCCCCRAAAATTGTAATGCATTCCTGTAGTGGGGTGGATTAGGATGGACCACAGTGAATTGGGTGCAGATTGGCTGAAATATGTGGAATTTAGAGCCAAACATATGTGAACGGCATGATGTCTGACTTCGCTGCACCGCCATGACCACGCCTTTCACCAAAAAGCCTTTGTGTTTGACAACAAGTGAGATCAACTTATTATCTCTGTTCTGACATGATTTGTTACTGATTAAGTCAAGAGAGTCAGAGATGGAGCTTCCTGTTGTCAGGGGACGGGGCTTTGATTATGTCATATGACCACATGGTATGGTCGGGCATGCAACATGGATGACTCAAGTTTGGTGTATTTTAGCCTGTCTATTGTCCGCCCCCTCAGCGACTGGGAACAGTAACAGGTTAAGTAAAGATGAACAGTAATTAACTAAACCTGTTAAAAGAAAAAACAAACCGGATTTCTTTTAATTCCAAACCTTGTAGATCAGTCTAACAAATCCTTTAACAACTCCCAGTTTGACATATTTATAGATCTTATACAAGAACAAAAARAATAAATCTGTTTTCTAAAACATCTGGTTTTATTTCTCAAACATAATGAAAACATTCCCAAAGTTTTTCCAAACCCAGGAACGAGGAGTTCGGACACAAAGATCTCAGACAGAAACAGGATTTATTGGCTGTTTGTGCTTCAGGCTGCTCACATATTTTTATCCTTATAGGTTTTTTTTCTGTCTGAAGAGTTGTTTCTCTTTACAAAGAATTACAGGCTTTTCAACAAACAGGAAACTAAAACTGAGATTAAAAATACAGTAGCTGCGTTTCCATTGCAAATGTGTGCAAAACTTTGTAGATATTTTGTTAATGTCGAAAAAACACAGTTTTGCGATTGCCGTGTTTCCATTATGTAATAAATGCTATTAAAGTCACGCATGAATTCGTTTGTTCTCGCGATGTCATTGCAAACATGGTGGCAACGGATGTAAACACATGTTGCTACCACAACATCATCATCCATCAGAGGAGACGTCGGCGTCTTTGCTTTCGAGGAACGAGCCCCTTATACTTGGAAGCGGCTACGTATGCTGCGTTTCTGGGAAATTGTAGTTTGTGATTTTCTTTTACTACTTCTGTGATTTTACTACTGCTCCAACTTCCTGTTGTCTTCTTCTCCATCATCTTTTTCACCAGTAGAAACATTTGGTTGTTGATCACATGACTCCCAAGATGTGAAAAAAGTTTCTCTTGCAGTTTTGCGAAATACACCAATTTCGAAACGGCCAAAAAAAACCACCTCATCRTAGTGCAAAAAAACTTACATTTTTTTCAAAAATGACGTGTTTCCATTAAGCAAATTTTTATTTTTGAAATTCCAATTTTCAAGGTCAATGGAAACACAGCTAGTGACGGTATAGATCAAATTCCAGGCAGGATTTATGACTGGATCCGTCTAAAACCACGTACCTTGTTTTGGAGATCCGGCGGTGTGGACCTGCACAGAGACGGGCTCGCTCTCCAGGTTCTCCTCCACGGCGTAGATGCTGACGTTGTAGAGCAAACCGGGGTGGAGGTCCACCAGGGTCACCGAAGTCTCCGAGTCYGGCAGGATGAGCTCGGTGCTGCTGCCTTCCTCTGACGGCGCGTACACCACACGGTACCCTGCGGGCACAGACGCAGGTTTGAAAACATTTCAAAATAAAAAACGCACAAACACAGAAGGTCAGTTCTTACCGGTAATCGGAGCCTGAGGTCTGGTCCAGCTGATTCTGATGGAGSTCTCCTGGATCTCATCCGCAGGGTGCAGAGTCGGTGAATCAGGAGCTGGTGGAAGGAAATAAGTTAGATAAAAACAACAAAAAGACAACATATGTTTTTATTTTAGGATTTATTGTGATTAAGAGGGGTGTTTTCTCTCCACCTGTGGTCTGTGAGGTGGTCAGGATCAGGTTCGGTTGTCCGGCCTCCGGCAGCTCGTAAACACTGACGTTATATCTGCGTCCAGGCAGCAGGTCACTGATGGTGACAGAGGTGGTGGTGCGAGGAATTTCTACAGGAGCACCAAACAAGTTTATTAAACTGCATTTTAATATAAACACATGTAAAAGCTTGTCTACTGGTTAATTCGTCCTAAAGACTAACCAGTGGTCGGCATGGTTCTGTTAACAGCTAACAGCTAATACCAGAGCTAATGTTTCGTTTAGCGATTTAGCTCAACGTTAAAAAAATATTAGTGATATTACATTTAGCATTATATTAGGACCAATTAGTTTCTACTAAATTAGGTTTTGTTGACTTTTAGTTTGCTAACAGTTAGCTAACAAGCTAAAATCAACAGGTTTGTCAGTCTCACCAGTCTTTAGCTGGCAGGAGATGTGTGACACAGACTGATAGCTGTCTTAGCGATTAGCTGTGTTAGTTTTTGCTAAGTTTTGCTTGTTTAACATTAGCTTCCGCAATTTTTTTTGCACGTTTAGCATTAGCAAAGCTATATTTTCAGTGAGCCCACAAATTTGCTTCCGCTAACTTAGGTTTTGTCAACTTTTAGTTTGCTATAACCAGCACTCCAAAAAAATACCATGTTTTAATAAGGTCAGACAACAGGACGCGTTTCGGCTACATGCTGTCGTCAACTTGTCAACAAGTTGACGACAGCATGTAGCCGAAACGCATCCTGTTGTCTGACCTTATTAAAACCATGGTATTTTTTGGAGTGCTGGTTATCCCATTTTTTTATTCTTCAGAACCAGGCACCCATTCACTCTTTTCCCTTTTTTATAAGGACATTTGAGWTGTGCACACAAAAAAAATTCTTATTAAACTTTTAGTTTGCTAACAGCTAGCWAACATCAACAGGTCTGTCAGTCCCACCAGTCTTCAGCTAGAAGGAGACAAAGACGTGTAAGACAGACTGAGTAAAAGTCCTCTTTGCGGTTAACAGTTAGCTGTTAGTGTTAGCTTCTTTTAAATTTTACTTGATTAAATGTTTAGCATTAGCTTTTGCTAATTTTTATTACTCATCAGTCCATCATCAATCCGTCTGTTGCTCCATTTTCCAAGTGAAACGAAAGCCCAACAGGAAACCTTTAATGCGGACCTCCAATCTAAAGGCGTTACTGAGATTCAGGTGAAACTTTAAAGACTAACCCAGGACGTTCTGTTTGGCCCCCTCCTCGATGAGCTCGTACTCCAGTCTGAAGCCGGTGATGGTCGAAGTAGCCGAGTTCCAGGACACGACAAAGCTGTTGGAGGTGATTTCTGTCACCGGCTGGAACATCTCTACGTGCGGTGGAGGGGCGGTGGGCTGTGCGGTCATCTCTCCTTCCCACGTCTCCACTTCAAAATAAAGAGAAAATTTATTGATTAATGAGTAAATTTGTAGCTTTAGAAGAAGATGGACGTCTTGGTTCACTCACGGGAGCCTTGGGCGGTGGTGAAATCGAAGCGCGTGACCTCACGGCGTCCGAAGTGCAGAATGCTGATCAGCTGACCCTCGTAGGTGACCCCGGGGCGCAGTCCACTGATGGTGTAGGAGCTCAGGTGTCCGGGGATGATGACCTCTCTCCAAGGAGAGTGACTGCTTTTCTACAAATCAGAAACAGAAAGAGATTAGTTCCTCCAAGTTTATTTACATTAAAACAAATCAGCTAGCCATGACTCAGGCTGATAGGTTTGTAACAAAACATCATGATGATCAGTAAACATTTCATGATGGTCATTAATGCTCCACGATGATCAGTAAATGTACCATAATGGTCAGTAAATGCTCCATGGTGGTCATTAATGCTCCAAAATAGTCATTAATGCTCAGTGATTGTCAGTAAACACTCCATGATGGTCATTAATGCTCCATGATGGACATTAACGCTTCATGATGGTCATTAAATGCTCCAAAATGGTCACTAATGCTCCATGATGGACATTAATGCTCCATCATGGTCAGTAAACATTCCATGATGGTCATTAATGCTCACTGATGGTCATTAATGCTCCATGATGGTCATTAATGCTCAATGATGGTCATTAATGCTCCATCATGGTCATTAATGCTCTATGATGGTCATTAATGCTCAATGATGGTCATTAATGCTCCATGATGGTCAGTAAACATTCCATGATGGTCATTAATGCTCACTGATGGTCATTAATGCTCCATGATGGTCATTAATGCTCCATTATGGTCATTAAATGCTCCATGATGGTCATTAACGCTCCATGACGGTCAATAAACATTCCATAATGGTAACTAAATGCTCCATGATGGTCATTAATGCTCCATGATGGTCATTAACACTCCATGGTGATTATTAATGCTCCATGATGGTCATTAACACTCCATGATTATTAATGCTTCATGATGGTCATTAATGCTCCATGATGGTCATTAACACTCCATAATGATTATTAATGCTCCATGATGGTCATTAACGCTCCATGATTGTCAGTAATGCTTTATGATGGTCATTAACCTATCTTGTTTGAATCCCAATTTTTGCTAAATTTCAATTGTAAAACAGTTTATATTTTGTACCTGAGGAGTTTTTTGTATTGTTTTTTTTTTATTTACAATAAATAATTTTATGTGACACAGCTTTTTGAGACTTTATTGTACCAGTCTTCAAATGGCAGATTATGGTCCAGGTACAGACCCAAATAAAGTCTTAACAGGACCCAGATTGGTCAGTAAATTACAGCAGAAGCTTTATTTTTTTCAGCTTATGCATGTTTTCTTGACTTTACAGTCATTACGGTAGCGGGCCTTAAATGGCAGGACTGTTGTCCAGATGTGGACCCAAATCAATTTTTGACCCAGATTGGATGGAAAATTCCAATGGAACATGAAGTTTTTTTTCTTTCTATCTGTGGACATTTTCTCACATTCGTGGTAAATAAATCCAAGTGGAGCTGATATTCCTGCGCTTTATTTAGGAAAACGCATTTAAGGTGGATTTTGCTAAATTTGTATTAAAGCTTTCAAGCATTTAAAATAAAGATGATCGAGGAACAGAAAAAAAGCTTCTAAAAAGCAAATATTTATTGTGAAATCTGCTAGAAAAACAGTGGTTGTGTGTGAACTGTAAGAGAGTTCATGTAACCTCTAATCACCATGTTTGCTCAAACTTTGGACAAAATCAGCAAAACTTCCTGATGTCATCGGAAGCCAACCTCTGATCATCTAAAAATCAAGTTTTAGGAAAAGTAGTGAAAGAGGCCATTCATGACTCACGAGTCTCCATTTGAGGATGTACTGTGAAACGTGGGTGGATGTCGGAGCGTTCCACTGGATGGGGCGAGAGTCTGGCTGTTTTCCCGCCTCTGTGATGATCACCTGGACCGGTCTGGAGCCGCCTGAGGAGCAGAAACATCAGAAAAGATTGTAAGATGGTGTTAAACGCAGGGAAAGTGGGTGAGAGCCGACAACCCTTCTGGTGGTTTTACATTTCTGGGACCAAAATCAAACCATCAGATGGTGCCAAACCAGCTCAACACCTGCTGAGAGTCTGAAGCCACACCTCAGTGTGAGATTCATCACGTTTACCTGGACTGTCCTGTCAGCACACACTGTCCTCTACTGTAACGCCTCAGGCCATGTTTGAGCTACGGCTCGGTCCAAAGTGCCAATGAGGCAACTTTTATCCAAACAGAGGCAGGAAGTGAGCTGAGTGTTTCCCACAATCTTTTGTTWAACAATTCGTGTTTTTTTCCTTTAAATCCCCAACAAATGGACCCAAAGTCCCGTCAACACATCATGTTTGTGTTTGACTGTAATTAACCCTCAATTAAATTAAATAAAAGAAAATAGAGAGGAACAAACAAACTAGTAACTAACAATGAGATGTCTTCCTTTTACTAGATTAACTTTCAGATTAAACTTCACTCTCCTCCCTCCAGAGGGTCATCAGGGTCTTTGTTTCCTGTAGAGGATGACATTTTTTAGGGAATCCCACAGGTCACGTGATTCCTGAAGGGTAGGATACTTCACTATTAATCATGGAATTGGGACAGTGCAGGATAAAAAGTTAACGGGAGCAGACGGGAGTGAGAACCAAAACGGTCTTTTGTAGTTTTCTTTCACAAAGACTTCACCAGAGTTAAAGAAGTACACGGCCCAGAGGCTAGCAGTGCTTTTGGTTAGGGTTTCTGCTGGAATTCAAAGAACAGCAATGGAGGGAGCAAACACCAGCGGAGAAACTGATGTGGTTTTTATTGATGTGTTTAACGTTACGTTTTCATCATTTGACATAACCGGTTGTCTAAAAATGTTCAGAGGAGACAGAGTTTCGAGAACAGGGAATAAAAAAAATGTGTGCCCCGTCTTCTGCCCAAGTCCTGAAGATAATTTTATGTGTATAGAGGAATAGTCTTCTTTTTACCAGGGTAGGTCTGCAGAGGTTCACATCTCATCTCTCCATTCCCATTGCCGTAGCAATAGCATCGGTACTGGATCCCGTTGTAAACTTTGTCCCACTGCTCTCCGATCTGATAGAAGACCCTGTTCTGTGGCTCCTGACACTGATCTGTTGTGGGAAACCAGGAAAACAAAAAGCTGAGCCAACGGAGTTCAGGTTCCTCCAACAGAACGTCTGATTAGCAGGATAAAAAGCTACGAACCTGGGTATGGTGCAATCATTTCAATGAGCAATTAATCATCAGAAAAACTGCCACAGATTAATATTTGTCACTTGGTGGTTAAAGCAATTATTTACTTATAGAGGTCATTGCTGTGCAGAGCTAACAATAATGCTAACGCAGAGCTAATGCTAATGTAGAGCTAACACAGAGCTAATGTGGTGCTAGCACTAATTCAGAGCTAACAATAGCACTAACAGAGCTAATGCTAACATGGAGCTAACACAGAGCTAATGCTAATGTGGTGCTAACACTAACACAGGGCTAACAATAACACTAATGCAGAGCTCATGCTAACATNGTGGTGCTAACACTAACACAGGGCTAACAATAACACTAATGCAGAGCTCATGCTAACATGGAGCTAACACAGAGCTAATGCTAATGTGGTGCTAATACTAACACAGAACTAACAACAACACTAATGCAGAACTAATACTAACATGGAGCTAACACAGAGCTAATGTTAATGTGGTGCTAACAGTAACAGGGCTAACAATAACACTAATGCTAACATGGAGCTAACACAGAGCTAATCTTGAAATGGTGCTTACACTAACACACTAACAATAACACTAACGCAGAGCTTAAGCTAACATGGAGCCAATGCTAACATGGAGCTACCACAGAGCTAACACTAACACGGAGCAAATGTGTTTTGTGTTTGTCTTTGTCTCTTTCCTGTCCCTCATCCTGAGCCAGTCAAGGCAGATGGCCGCCTGTCCTAGTTCTGTTGGAGGTTTCTTCCTGTTAAAGGGAGTTTTTCCTTTCCACTGTCGCCAATGTTCTGCTCAGAATGGGAGACCGTGACAAAGATTCAACACAATCTGCTGCTTTTTTAGATTGATTGTTTTTTGTGTACAGTGACCTGAGATAACGTTTGTTGTGWCTTGGCACTATACAGTATAAATAAATTGAATTGAACTGAATGAATGCTAACGTGATGTTAACACTAATGCTAAAATGGACTCTACACTAATGTGGAGCTAATGCCGTGCTAACGCTAATGCAGAGCTAATGCTAACACTATAAATCTATTTAATTACCTGAAACACTGCTATAAAACAGAGTGCAGGGAAAGTCAGGAAGTGCACACTGAGGCCAAAACGTCAGTTACAACAAACTCTCCAGCAAATGGGGGAAACAAATCTTTTCAGCTAAAAATCTACGATGCTCTCAATCAATCTGTCAATTATTAACGCTGACCTTGGCTGATAAAATTAAGAAGTTTGATAATGTGTGAGTATAATTTTAGAACACAGGGTAACTGATTTAGAGTCAAAAACATACAAGTGTAATTTTCATCTTTTAATTCTCAAATTACTCGGCCAACCCTCCAACAAACGCACCGATCGGGTCACATTTCCAGCGTCCACGTCCCTCTCCAAAGCAGGTGCAGTTCATCATGTGTCCCTCCGTGTGGCGCTTGGTGAATTCCTGGTTGACTTCATAGTACAGACCATCAACAAGGCAGCGATCTGGATGATTAAAGACAGAAAATACACCTTTTAATGCTCTGATGTTTTTATATATGTTTTCCTTTTTTCTTTCAAGGCGAACGCTGAGTTGAGTTCGTTCTCTGACCTTGCTGAGTTGCGTACGGAACACAGTTCCACTCGCCGCGCCCGTTCCCCTCACATGTGCACTCCATCATGTGACCCATGGCGTGGCGTTTCTCCCACTTGTCCCCCACGCGATGCATCACTCCCTCGCTGGTGGTGCAGACCTCTTCATGGGCTGATTACAAGAAGATAAAACTTTTAATACCCTCAAACGGCCCACACAGACCATCCAGACCAGAGTCCAGACTGTGAACCGAATAGAGTCTCAGCTATGGTCATTTAATCCCTCATTGTCCACAATAAACCAGATATAATCTGAGAGAACAAGAGGAGATAAATGTCTTGTTTGTTGAAGAAGGACCTTTGGAAGAAGGGTTCTGTGAAAAGATTATGATAAATACTATCTCAGCCGTTGCAGATAGCAGAAACACAGTTTAATTCTGATTAAATGAGCGAGCTAGCAGCTGGTAACAACAGGTACTCACCAGCCATCGGACAGAACCCGTAGCGCTGGTCTACATCGTAGTTGTGCGTGGTGCTGCACCACCTCATGCCGTCGCGGCGCCCGTCGGGGGTGCACTCGGTATAGTTCTGACCGCTGAAGAGGAAGGGGAAGTGGCAGAGGGCGTTGTTGGAGTTTCCACCGCGGGTCACGACGCTGGCTGGGATTTTTAAACGGGAAATCAGACYGGTTAGTTTTGGCTCCGAGCGGCGGCGGTGTCTGAGCCCGCCCCCGGTTCCAGAGGCTCACCGTATCTTTCTGTGCAGAAGGAGTACTGCTGGTCCTGCTCGTAGTTCGAGGTCGTGGAGCACCAAAGCTGGCCGTCGCTGCGTCCGTCCGACGTGCAGGAGTAGTACGTCTTCCCCAGGAAGACGAACGGGAAGACACAGGGCTGGCCGTTGGAGTTACCCCCGTACACGTGGCTCTGGGCCTCTGCACAGACAGGAGACAGATGTTAACCTGTGATCCAACATCTTCATCTTGGTCCAAAGTTGAGTCTCATCAGATCTTCTGAGAGGACTCTAAGGTGTTCTCAGACCAGCTGAGAGACATCTCAGTGTCCTGGGTCTTTCCCACGTTCTCTTCCCTGTTGGACATYTCCAGAACTCCTCCCTAGGGACAGTCCACCCTATACTGACTGAGGACAAGAGGTGATTGCTCTAAGACTGCCTAAAGTGTCAAAAATAAGTGATCAAATATATAATGTTGTGTGTACATGTCATTAACTAAATATGCTCTACAACGCGCTCAACTTTTGTTCAGAATCAGCTTCTTATCACTGGTAACGACGCAACTTTCCTCTCTCATTCCCGCAGCTTCACAGAGCTTTAACAGTGCAGAGTTCAACAGTGAAGCAAAAAATGTAACGAAACAAGARGAGTCATTGGATAAATGCTGAGCTTAGTCCCGCCCATCGGACGCTCAGCGTCTCTGGGGGTCTATGGGACAGGGGGCTGGCCTCGGCCGGCCTGGATGCTCAGCTTCTGCATGATGATTGGATGATCTGTCAGAGCCTGAATCCCCTTTTAATTGACAGCAAAATGAGGGAATCAGCGATCTTTTGGTGTAAACATTCCACGGGAGCATTTTTTAGTTTCATTCTGTTCTGAGTTGAACTGGAGACTTTATTAATCCTTTTAGCGACATTTTCTTTGTTAAGAACGACTAGCAACAAATCGAGCTTCTATTTCTGGTGGGGTTTTTTTTTTTTTTTTTTGTAGCTGCTTGTGTTTGGAGACTGACTTTTATCACTCTTTCTGACTTCTATCGCAGTTTCTGTCCAGCAGGTGCTGCTGAGCCCCTTCACCGTCACAAAGCACTCACAGACGGACACACTTCACARTAGCCTTGCGCCAGTCCCAGCTAGCGAGTTAGCTAGGTAGCAAGCTGCACATAATGTCAGAGTTTTATGATTTTATGATGTAGGCCGAAATTGAGCTTCTCCTCCTTGAAAGACCAGCATCCGCCACTGCTGAGGACCTCAGGTTTGGAGGTTCTGGTCTTTATGTGAACAGCTCCAGTGAGAGCTTGAGACCATGACCCCATAGCACCAACAGGACCACATCATCTGCAAACAGCAGAACCAGAATCCTGAGGTCATCGACCCCTTCCTTCTATTAATGATCATGTGAGCATTACAGCAGAAATCAAATGTGAWTTGTTACTAAAAAACCTTTGATTGGGTCAGAGGGGTTTGTCTTACAGGGGACATATCTGCAAAATCCACTTTTTTAGTCCTAAATGCAGTTTGTTGTGGACTTGGAGTCTCTAGGAGGCAGAAAAGTTAAATTTAGTCTCTCCTGGTGCTGCGTAGAGATCCTAATACTCTGTTTGGCTCAGATTTTTTAACCTCTTCAGTTTTCTCTATTACTGAACAATAACGTCACAGTTTTTACTGCAGAACTGAAAAACAAGAGCTGTATCCAAATTCAGGGGCCTGGMCTATGGAACTATATTGAGGCCATAAGTGTTGATCAAAGTAAAAAGCTTTTGAAACGGAAAAAAAGAGATTTGAAACTGAAAAATTATTTTGAAACTGAAAAAAAATATATATATTTTAAACTGGAAAAAATATTTGAAATTGAAAAGAAAATATTAGCAACTGAAAAGTTTCAAACATCTTGTCTTTTCAGCTTCAACTATTATTTTTTTCAGTTTCAAAATTATTCTTCAGTTTCAAATCTCTTTTTTTATTTCAAAAACTTTTTATTTTGAACAAAACTTATGGCCCCAATTTAGCTCCATATGGGTCCTCCGAATGCCGAATTTGTCGGCCGCTTACGTCACAGCGCTGCAGTAGCGCTGCACTGGAGCCTATCCAAATTCAAAGACTCCTCCGATGCAGCCGATAAATGCGTCCTCCTCTTGCCCCGATTTGAAGGACGGAGGATGGATCCTTCTCGGCCCACCATATCCCATAATGCATTGCGGGCCGACCGGACTTTTTTTTTCTGCTCGTAATGGCGAGCGAAGCGAGAGAAAGGAATACAGTTTTGCAGATCATTTTGAGAAATGATTGTTTGGACCATAAAGAATGCTATATTTGCTAGAGTGAGCATGTTCAGGAAGTTATAAAGCAGTTGCCTCATATCTCTTGTCATTACCTCAATGTCGCAGTCATGTAAGCTAGCTGCAGTTCTAATAAAATGACTAAAAGAAACATGGACCCCTCACTCAATTCAACAATTTTTAAATAAAAATCTGGAGGCATAAAAATGAAAAGTTTCAAGTGGTTGTGTTGTTAAAGCTCTTATCATTTGTATAAACTTGTTTTTAATATTATTCTTGTCAGAAATCAAACGAGCTGGTGTAGAGAAATAAACGTGCACCTACAGCAGGTCCATCAGTTCTTCGGTAAGGGCGGGAATATAGCCGAAGACTAGACCGTCCAAATTCAGACACTTTTTTCTGGTATTTGCTGGCAACCAAGGACCCGGCTCAACTAGACCGAGTCCTTCGAAGGGCCCAGCCCCTGAACACAGCTATGGTCGTATCTCTGCTATCAAACTAGAAAAATGGCCGAACAGAGTGAAAACGGGCAAGAGACAGCACCAAAATGAGTCGCTCTCAGAAAGAGGTGAAAGAGGGACCTTCTACAAGAACCATTATWGAATTTAATTTATTTTTCACAGCAATTTGTTTGGCATTTATTTTCCACGGACTCACCCCACTCCTGACACTTGACCCCGTTACCCAGGCAGGTGCACAGCATCTGCTTGCTGCCCTGCCTCCTGATCCAGCGCTGCCCGTCGTAGTAGGTGGCTCCAGAGTCCGTCTGGCAGGTTCCCTCGGCGGCGGGCACCTGATGCAGCAGGGGCTGGGCTGGAACCGGATCAGAGAGGAGTCAGGGACCATCCAGGTCCGAGAACYTCAAGAGTAAAAGTAAAGATCAGAACCCACTTCGACCCTCGGCGTGGCAGCTGGACTCTCCGCGGCCGTTTCCCAGACACACGCACTGCATGGAGTTCCCCCTGGAGTCTTGTTTGGCCCACGTTTGTCCAATACTGTAAGACCTCCGGGTCACCGGGTCGTTGCAGCGGTCTGGTTGGACAACAGAAACGTTCAGCAGCTTTTTCCCTTTAGATCTGGAATCCTTAATTATTTTAGCTCTTTGAACCTTTAGCTAAGTTTTGTTCTCAGTTATTTTCAGCTTTTAGCTACTATTCAACTAATTTTTAACTTTCAGCTTCTATTATTCTTGGTTTAGATTTTAACAACTCTTTTCCTGGTCTTAGATTCTTCTGTTTAGGTAGTTGGAGCTATTAGCTATAGCTTTTAGATACTTTTAGCTATATTTAACTACGAACTGTTGTTTTGCTGGTCTTAACTTTTACTTTTATCTCATTTTTTCTTTTAGTTTGAACTTTTAGCTGCTGTTCAGCTAATTTTATCTTGTAGCTACTGTGAAGCTGGTCTTAGCTTCTTCTGTTTAGCTAACTTTAGCTTTTAGCTGTTCTGATAATGTTAGTTTTTAGCCACTGCTTAGCTTGTTTTAGCTTTGAAATAAAGTTTTACTAGTTTTTTACGTAGCATTTGTTGTGCTATCTTTAGCTTTTACCTACTYTTCTGCTAACTTTAGCTTTTAGTCATTGTTTGAACTTTAAAATACAGTTTTGATATTTTTACTTTTTAGCTACAGTTTTAATATTTTCTTCTTTGAGGTCCAATTAGCTGGTTTTAGCTTTTTTATTTTGCTTGTTTTAGCTTTCAGCTGCAGTCCTGACACTTTTAGCTTTTAACTACTGTTATGCAAATAGTTGTTTTTAGCTACTGTTTAGCTTGTTTTAACTTTGAAATAGTGTTTTTCTAGTTTTACATGTTAGCTACTTTTTTGCTTTTTTAGCTTTAAGCTTCTGTTTTGCTATTTTCAGCTTTTACTAGCTAATCTTAGCATTTGGTAATTACAGCTTTTAGCTTTCATTTAGCTACTTTTTAGCTAAGCAAAAGCTTTGGTTTTAGTTCTGTTTACTTTAGCTTCGAGAAGTCCGACGTTTCGGCTGCTTCATTAAATTTCGGCTCTTTACTCACTTCTGGAGGTACATTTGACGTGTCCGTTTCCTCCTCCTAAGCAGGTGCAGTCCAGCATCATCCAGCCTTGGTACGGTCTCTCCCAGGTATCCCCGACGACAAACGACGTTGCGGCGTAGTTGTCATAGCAACGTTCAGCTGACATTAAAAACAAAAGTGAATTTATTAAACTAAAGGGTTAAATTCAAACTAAAGTCACAGAAAAACCTTCAACACCTGCAGGATAATAAGAATTTAATTAAATATTCAGTCATCATAAGATTGATGAACTTTTAGCTACTGTTCTGTTAATTTTAGCTTTTAGCTACTCTTTTGCTAAACTTAGCATTTAGCTACTGTATTTGCTTTCAGTTTCAGACTTGTTTATTTAGCTTTTTAAGTTTTACTACACTAAGCTTTTAGTTACTTTTCAGCAGATCTTTGCCTTAAACTGCACTTTTGATAAGTTTAGCTGTTAGATTCAGATTTGATTATTTTAGGTTCATGTTGTACCYTATTTAGCCTTTAGCTACTTTTTAGTCAATCTTCGCCATAGATTGCATTTTTGCCATGTTTAGCCTTTAGCTTCAGATTTGCTTATTTTAGGTTTTACCATATTTAGCCTTTAGCTACATTTCAGCAAATCTTTGCCTTAGACTGCACTTTTGATAAGTTTAGACTTTAGCTTAGATTTGCTCATTTACAATGTGTTTTACCATATTTAGCCTTTAGCTACTTTTTAGCCAATCCTCGCCTTAGATTGCATTTTTGCTAAGTTTAGCTTTTAGCTTCAGATTTGCTCATTTTAGCTTTAAGTGGTTTACCGCACTTAGCTCTTAGCTACTGTTAAGCCAATCTTTGCCTTATATTGCACTTTTGCCAAGATTAGCTTTTATCTACTGTTTTTTTCTTTTAGCTTCAGATTTGATATATTTAGCCTGTAGCAACAATTTAGCAAATCTTTGTCTTTATGTTTTGTTTTGCTAATGTTAGCTTTTAGCTACCATTGTAAAATTTTGAATATTTAGCTACTGTATGATCAGATCGCTGAAGATCTTTGTTTAAAACATACGTTACCTGTTGGACTCAACACTTGGCTCTGTTAGCAACATACCTGCTAACTCTTAGAGCAGCTTTAAACCAGGAAGTGATCATCATCATGGTACTGTGGCTCCGCCCACAAGGACTCACCTACAGGCTTGCAGGTCCACTCCCCTTTGTTGTTTCCTAGACAGATGCACTCCAGCATGGATTCTCCYTTCTCGTGAGGCTTCTGCCACGTGTCGCCGATTTTGAAGGACCTCCCGTTGTCGTGGCAACGATCTGTCAATCACAGAGCAAGGCGGGTCAAGGTTCAACGCGTTTAGAAGAAACATCGTTCCCGAGTTAGCAGATAAATATGACAAACGCTGACTCAGCAGTTTAACCGTTTTCCTGCTTTTTATTTTAACTTTCTCAAACTTTAAGCTGTTTTAACCATCAAAGCATGAAAACGTTTGGCTCAGTGGATAAATGTGAGCCGGGACTTTTGATTTTTTTTAACTTTTATGTTATTCAAAATGTAAAACAGTTCAAATAAAACTCCCCTTTTCCATTGAAATTTGATGTTTTTGTCTTCTTATGTTTCCTTTCTGTTACTTTAAGGTTTTACCTTCCATTNTTTTAGCTACCATTCTCATACCTTTAGCTTTTAGCTACATTACTGTTACTTAAAGGTTTTAGCCACAGTTCTACTACTTTTAGCTTTTGGTTAATGTTTTGCTCCTTTTAGCTTTTTGTTCTTCTTCTTATGGTTTTAGCTACCATTCTCCTAATTTTAGCCAAAGTTCTGCTACATTCTTCTCTTATTTGTTCATTTCTAGCTTTAGTATATTTTGATTATTTGTCATTGCTTTTAGCTTGTGTTGTGTTAATGTAATTTTAGCCATTTTTTATGCTAGAACTTTAATTTCTTTTTATTACCTTCAGAACAAAGATGAACAAATTTAGGTTTAGTTATGAACTTTTATGATGTTGTTTATGTCCATGTATTTGAACTGTAACCCCTCAGTTTTAGCTTTTTTTTCATCAACCTTCAGCTGTCATTCAGCTGATTTTCTCTGGTTGAACTCTGAGCTCACTTGCGATGGTGCAGGAGATCTTTCCAGCTCCGATACAGGTGCAGTCCCACATCAACCCCTCCTTTGGTCTCTCGTAGGTGTCGCCGACCCGGTATGTCTGGACATTGTCCTTATCGTAGCACGTCTCGTCCTCTGAGACAAAAACAGGAAGTAGAAAGGTTGAGACTGAAGATCAGAATAAAATCAACTTACCTGCCTGAAACTTCTCAAAACTCAAGTTTTAACACTTATTAAATAACTTTTCGCTGTTTTTGACACCAAAGTACAAAAAATACAGTACAACACTGTAT